CTTCTCTTCCTTGCTCCTGGCAGGGAAGCTCTCTCTTTGTTTAGACCGATGGTCGTCTTTTGTTCAGGTCAATGGCCTCTCCTCCAGGTTCTTCTTTTCAAGACAGTCCTTCCCCTCACCAATATGGATTTGCAGAGGGGTTTATTGCTCATTGGCTCAGCCTGGGCTGGAGGTGGTACACCTTGCAGCCAGGTGAGCTTTCATGAAGCTTCTCACAACATGGCCCCTTCCTCCACTACCAAAAATGCCTGCCCTGCACACACACACACAAACACAACACAGTTGTGTTGGAACAAAATGTGGTATTACAAATGTAGCATTCAGGTTATTGTAATGTTGGTTTTTTTTCCTCCCCCTCTGTTTGCATCTTAATAATTCCTGACATTCTTTTTCCTTTTTTGATTGCCACTGAGTAGTGACATTTAATATTTCCAAGGCACTGTCTGTGGTGATTCTAGGTCTTTCCTGGGCAGTGACAGCTGAAACAGAGTGTGACACTGTCCTTGAGCTCAATTTGTGTTTTCCTATATAAGCTATCTGTTAATTTATAGTCCAGCTGCTTCATCTGCTTCTTCAGTTAATTTCAGTGTTACGCCCTTTGGTATAAATGGACTGCTGATCTGTAAGCAAATATTTGCTGGAGATATAGGGGAAACATTTGTGGGTATGGGCTGTTTTCTTATGCTTTTGCTATAGTTGTTTTATCTGTGTGACAGTTACACTGGGCTAGCCCTTGGCTAGCAGCCAGCACAGACTCACTGCCCCCTTCCCAGGGGATGGGGGAGAGAATTGGGGGGCGAGGGTAAGGAGACTCGTAGGGGGAGATAAGAACAATTTAATAATTGAAATAAAATAAAACTTACAATAATAATGATATTAAAATAATGATAATAGTAGTAAAATATACAAATGAGCGATGCCCGGTGCCATTGCTCACCACCTGCTGCCAAACCCCAGCCTGTTCCCAGATAAAGATCCCAGAGGAGCCACAATCCCAAACCAAAACCGCAATCCCAGAAGAGTGAGAGCCCAAGCGAAAGCCAGAGAGAGCAAAAGAGGAAGAGCCCCTCACTAATATACTGAACATGACGTGATATGATCTGGAATATCCCATTGGCATAGCCAAACACCAATTTAGCTTATTAATTTAAATATTCCTTATCCCCCTTAGATCTTGGGTTTGTAGACTAACAAACATGGAAGTCTTTCACTTCCAGTGACAAAAATGCAAACACTGGTGTGTTATCAGTGTCTCTCTCATAACAAATCCCAGGCTGAAATGAAAACACAGCACTGTTCTAGCTACTAAAAAGAAACTCAGCTCTGTTCCAACTAAAAACCAGGACAATCTGTTGTTCCTCTGACGTGCACTAAGGCGTGCTGGATGTGAACTGATCAAAAGCAGTTGTACTGACCTAGCAAAATAGACTTTTCTGTATTTAAAAGCTTACTTTCAGGTATTTATTCTGATTTCAGAAAAAGGGAAGTGAAACTGACATGAGGGAAACAGAATCTTGATTACAAATGTCTTTTGTATTGCTGTTCACTATTTTATTTTGTGGTATTTGTTTTCGGTTTTTTAGGAAATCCCGCTATTGGAATTTTAAAGCACAAGGAGAGATGTTACGTTTTCAGTTCCCGTGAAGCTGCATACACCTTTGCTCAGGATCCAGATAAGTTCATTCAACTGAATGTAGAAAAAGCAAAAGAACATGCAGAGCTGATTCAGCTGCTCGAGCTTCATCATCAGTTTGAATACCTTGCTCCGTATGCATGGGTACATATTGCTCATGGGTCACTAGTTGATCTGTCCTTTCTAGAACATAAAAAGAGAACAGATGACATGCGTCTTTAGAGAAGAAGTATAACCATCTGCTTATCATACAGAATGTCTGAAGGTCCATCTTTTCCAGGTCTTCAAGGTGTTGATGGGAAACTTTTTCCCTTAGTGTTGCTCTCACCTTATTTCTTCATAGGAGAATACGTAGAGCTAAAGGAATAAATAAACAGCAATAAAAGCTGTTCATCCTTAGCCGAGGAGGATCCTGTGTCTGATGTTTCTTTTCCTCATTTTTGTAAAAGTAGCTTAAAGGGGCAGTAAATAAATGCAATAGAAGATACCATATTAACTGGAGCTTTAGCTCAGCAGTTCATCAGTATGTGCTGGATGAGGGCGTAGTAATATCTGGGACAGGAATTAATGGAATTCCAAGGAAATTTCAAAATGAAAAAGGACTTATTAACAATATGACAGTGCTACCATGTGAAATCCAAAGACTTGATTTGGATTCATGGGCATTCTCTGTGATACATTGCAAATTCTAGGTTCCTAGCAGTGGAAAGAAGGCACTCTTGAACTGGTCCTTGGGGTTTATATCCTGGATACAGTTTATGTCCTGGCTCTGTCAGAGATGTAACCACTTCTCCCAGTTATGAATTCTGATTTTCAGTCTGTTCATAAAGATAAACCGAGGTGCCTGCATCGTAAAATACTGGTAGTGGTGGTGGAATCCCTTTTTACCAAAATCTAATGATTAAGCACTCACTCAGGATGTGGGAGACTGAAATTCAGCTGTGGCCTCTGCCTAAAGGGTTTTTTGCCAGAAATTAAATGTATCAAATACTTAATGGTTTCTTATTTTTAGTGAGGACAGGGGGAACAAAAATACTGTTGAATGTAAAAATCATTATCCATTTGTGGTTTGCAGATTTCTATTTGCTTTTAAAAAGTAGCATATCCACACACCATTTTTCTTAGACATCCGTATTCTTCTCATTAATGCATTGCTTGGTTTTGGGCTTTTGTTTTGTTTTTTTTTTAATCCAGGCCAGAAATGCAGACAAATATTTGATGAAACCAACAACAACATGTGACAGTAGTACTCAAACTGATACTCATATCCTCCCTCCAACTATTGTGACATCTTATGAATGGAATGAATGGGAAATGAGAAGAAAAGCTATAAAATTGGTTTGTATTGTTATTACCAGATTTTTATTGTTGGATAACAAAGTTCAGAATAAGTTATTGTAAACTTCTGTCCCTTGCAACATAAATCTAACCTTATTCAAAGATGCACACTTCTGTTACAACTGGCTCAATATTTTCTTCCAGGTATTTTCTTTACTTATTTCTAGACTTTCTTATTCTCTCACTTTATCCATATTTTTTCCACATTTTTTGAGCAGTGCTTCCACTGCTAAGTCTATTCATTCCAAATTTTTCAGTTGCCTTCTGAAAGAGTTGAGAGTAATAAGAGTTTGTTATTAGCATCAAATTTTAAAGTTGTTTCTCTACACTCAAATAAATTTAGCAGGAAAGATATTGCTATGTACTTTCTTTGTGGGGGGAAAAAAACAAAACAGGTTGCAGAAAGGTTTGGGTCAGGCAAAACTTGTTGAAAGTTGAGCAATTTATATTAATATTTATCACCTAAAAGTAAGAGGAGGAAAAATGTAGTAGCTGGCAGACAGAATGGTTAGGAATACCTTTGGATGGGTTTGACTCTGCAGAAGCTTTCTCTGAGCTAACTTATCACAGAATCACAGAATGTCAGGGATTGGAAGGGACCCTGAAAGATCATCTAGTCCAATCCCCCTGCCAGAGCAGGAACCTGATGCAATCAGATCACACAGGAAGGCGTCCAGGTGGGTTTTGAATGTCTCCAGAGAAGGAGACTCCACAACCTCCCTGGGCAGCCTGTTCCAGTGCTCTGTCACCCTCACTGTAAAGAAGTTCTAGATGATCTTTCGAGGTCCCTTCCAATCCCTGACATTCTGTGTAACTGAGGTACATAAAGAAGCCAATGAGGTTTCTAAGTGGCCTAGCTAAAAGTTTCTCTGGAGTGTAATGGACAAAAGTACATAAATAAATGTAAGATGTCGTCAGTGGTTTATCTTTAGCATAAGCAAATGTGGATGTTTTCCAAGAGCTGAAGGCCATTCACAAGCAAATTTGTAGGTTGTTAGTCTGAAATATTTAGAGAAGGTACTTTGAATTACTAAGGGTGTTTTAGCCTCCGCTGTCCATATGGGAGATTAGTGATGGCGAGTTGAAAGAAAAAATCCCAGATGTATGCAGAAGTGTTTTGTCTACAGTGACTGACTGTGCTGAATTTGTAATGTGGAGGTGATACATAATGTAGAATCAAAGTGAGAACAGCAATAGCTTGCCAATGCATCTGTGAATTTGACACTTTTAGGGGCACATTGGATGTATTTTGGGGTTTCATTAGAGGATGAATTCAGATACCTTGGGGTTTTTTTCTGTTGTTCATACTTAGCCAGAAAACTTGTAGTGATACAAAGGGTTAAAATATGACTTTGTCAGAACACCTGTTTGATGTTAGAAGTAAAATTTTCAGCTCAACATTTGTTTCCCTGTGGAAGCATAGTTCCTTGCAATGGTTCCGTCAGTTCTCAAGAGGGATAAACTTAACAGAGAAACAGGATGTCCTGCCTGCTCGTTTTAATTGTCAGCAAAACCTTTGGGAAAAAAAAAGACTAAAATATAGTTCTTCTTTCCATGCCATTTCTTCTCTAAATTCTTTATTGTTCTTTTTGTGTCTTCAGGCCAATTTGCGCCGAAAATTGACTCATGCCATGCAGACTGACCTCAGCCACATGAGAAGAGAGAACTCCACCCAAGTGTACTTGTCAAAAGATGTCAGCACCCAGACTAAGCGTGACAACTCAAGCAACGTACCCAGACCACAGATTTTCTTGGAAGGTCTCCGAGGAGCATCTTCTCCTACTACTCATATGGTCAAAGTAGACTTAACAAGAGCAGTAGATGAACCTAAGTGAAAATGAGAAACCCAAAGATAAATATTGAATGTATATATAAAAATCCCTGCATATGTCTGAATTAAGATACAAAAGATTTTACTGTGTCTGCTGATTCCAGGTGCAGTTGATTTATTTCATGTACCTTATCTGTTGGGGCTGCTGACTGGCATTAAGTGACACACGTGATAAGCCTGAAACACCAAGAGTTTAAACAGCAATTTAGAATCAAAATGTTTCCGAAGTCTTTAACTTAAACTGACCTTTAAATGTGTAGGGTGTGTTCTGGGATTTTCCTGAGGTTTTAATACAGTGCTTGCTTGCTGAGACACTGTCCTTGAGCGCCATGTCTTTAGTCATGAAAAGTCTGATGTAAGACAGATAGCTTTTATGAGATACAGAGCTGCTACAGAGGCATCATTCCCATTGGTGTGAAATAAAACTGGTCCCAAGAGAGTCACCCGAATGTCACAGCTCCACCCTCAGAGCAGGATCGCCGAGAAGGTAAAACCAGCAAACTGGAATCAGTCTGGGTGCTGGGGCCTGTCCGTTCGTCCTGTCGTTAACCGAAGCGTCTTTGCGGGGCAATAGGTGCTGTGGGCCAAGGCCAAGAGCAGGAATCCACCGCCGATGTCTCTGGCAGTCTTTGAGGTCTCTAGTAATTCTGTACGTACTGGCTAAACAGTGTGCTGGTGAGCACGATGGAAACCACGGGAGCTTGGCTTTGGGGCAGCTTTTTGAAAGCTCTGTTTCACTTGTGTTTGAAAAACCAAAGCACAATGGGAAAAGGTTTTCAGCTTTATTTCACTGTGGCAGCGAAATATGTGCCAGGTCTGATCAAGGCAACTGTTTGTGGGGAACCTTAATCATTTGAGCTTTAAGATGAAACGTCTTCTCAAATGGAAGTAAGGAGTACTTTAAAACAGAGATACTTTTCACAACAACAAAGAGCTTCACAAAGTATTATCTGCAAAATATCCAGGTGTGCAACTGTGATTGCACAGGGTACGCTAAGGCTTCCAAGTCTCTTTTTTGGTCGGGTGCAGTGTGGTGCATCATGGTTTCCTGGGTCATTGTTACACAAGCTTGTGATAATAAAGCTTGAAGGCCCAAGCTGCTGGGCAATTTTTCTGTGGCGTTGTGCAGGGTAGGATTCTCTTTTTGTGTACCTGACTCCAAGGCTTCACTTTTTAAAGTTACACAACTGGGAAAAATCCAGGAGGCATTACACAAAAAAGGAGCAGGAGATGAGTGCAGAAAAAAGTTAAAGTAGTTTCCAGTAGGTGATTTTCTCTTTTGTAAAGAACTAATCAGTAGCAGCCAGATGTGCTACTCCTCTGTGTTTTCCAATGAGGAGCTGGCACAGATTTTCAGATTTATTAATAAAAACATGAATGCTGATACCAGCTGCAGCTTTTTTTTATTCAGAGAAAACACCCTGTTGCTGCTTAATGAAATACTTTTTGTTGCTGTCATCTCCACATATTTTTATCATCGTTTGCTTTGAACCTTTCATGTTACTTACATTGAACCAACAAAGTGGTATTTTCGGAATACATAAATACATTTATTTAAAAGAAAACTGATGAGTGACAATCCCTTTTATCCCACTTACTCTTTGCTTTTCTGTTTGGAGAAGTTACTGCAATATTGTAAGATATTGGGGAATGCAACTGTAATCTACATCTCACTTTTGGCACGGCAGAAACATGTTGGTACCTCAGAGCTTACTCTTGGGATGAGAAATACATACGTGAGATTCCTGGGTGTTTATGATCAATAAAATAGTTCTGGGGGGGGAAAAAAAAAAGTAAGAGGTTACTTTTCAAAATTACTTTATTCATGTGAAAGGGGAGACAACATTCAGTTGATGCCCATTTGAACTTGAGTTTTTCCTTCTTTGAATCTGCTGCTTCTGTTGTGCTGGTGCACTGGTGAGCGTGCTCATGATGGCAAAACCATGCGAGACAGGGCTGGCCTCACAGCCAGGGGTCTGGTAAAAAGCACAACACTTGCAGTTATCGGGCTGTAAAGTTATCCAAAGGGCAGCTCGTGGTAGCACGCTGGTGTCCTTTGTGTTTATTTACAGCTGCTTTTGGGGCTTTCTCCTTTTTAGAGTTTGCGGTTTGGGGAGCCCAAGACAGGTCCGTAGGCAGCTGGAGATACGCAGATTGCAGCGTATTGGACTCGAATTCCTTAAGTGTTACTCAGTAATTTGCATGCATCAAAACAGTCATTAAAATCACCTGGTGGTTTTATGACTCTGTTGCTGCACAGATTAAAATATTGCTCCTTCTTAAAAATCAGAGAATCACAGAATCATTAAGGTTGGAAAAGACTTCTAAGATCATCAAGTCCAACCATCAACCCAACAGCGCCATGCCCGCTAAACCCTGTCCCTAAGCGCCACATCCACACATCTTTTAAATACCTCCAGGGATGGGGACTCCAGCACTTCCCTGGGCAGCCTGTTCCAATGCTTGGCCACCCTTTCAGTGAAGGAATTCTTCCTGATATCCAATATAAACCTCCCCTGGTACAACCTGAGGCTGCTTCCTCTTGTCCTAAAGCCTTGTAAGGTCTGTGAAGTGAGGCATTTTATATGGCCTCTGCTGTCACCACGGGGTCCTTGCTGACGGGCAGCTGTTCCTCAGGGGGAGCTGCGCCGGAGGCTGGAGAGAAGAATGTCCTGCAGCTCTGGGGTGCTACTGGGCCCGCATCTTCCCGAGTAGCCTCCCTTGCACACTCAGCAGAGAAACAAATTAGCCAGGTAAGGCTTACAAGGAAGAGTGCGGCTGTAAGTACAAGTGGGCATGTTCAGCAAGCACACATCAGAAAAAAACACAGTTCATGTGAAGCTGCAGTCTTAGAATCATACAATCATTTTGGTTGGAAAAGACATTTAAGGTCATTGACTCCAACCATAAACCCAACACTGCCACGTCCACCACTAAACCATGTCCCTAAGCACCACATCCACATGCCTTGTAAATACCTCCAGGGATGGGGACTCCAGCAC